ACAAGGAAAGGGGTTTAAGTTAAAGGGTCCCTCTGTGTGTCTCAGCAAACCAGAGACAGGCCCTGCACCTGTGCCAAGGAATGATGAAGGCCCCAAACACCTGGAGAAGACCTCAATCAGGAAGAAATTGGTGACAAGAAGGTTCAGCATGTCTCAGCAGACACAACTCGTAGCCTGGGAAGAGGAAATTTCTTCTCCAGGAGAAGGTTTGGGTCACCTAAAACCTTAAGTTCAGCTTGAGACCCTGTACCAAAGAGTGCAAGGTGACATTTATCCCAGGACATCTGGCTGAGGGGTCTCCAGGGTTCTGGATGACACCCCAAGGCATGCAAGCTTGTGCAAAATATCCCTTTCCTCTGCTTTCTATGACAAAGACAAGTCCCCTAGGGAAGGTTAAAGGGGCTGCAGGATCCTCCTGCTCTCTGCAAATCCAGCCCAAGAGGTGGCCATGCTGTAGGCAAACCCCAGCTGCTCACAGGTGTCCATAAATCCAGGCACCTGAGTTTTCCTCCTACAACAAACAAAGCATCTCACGGTGTTCAGCTGGCCCAATTCCACCACTGCCTAAAAGTGTGAACCTCTCCCAGCTCGTGGAGAGCACCAGGGGGTCCTGGATTTAGGGATGAACATCTTGCCATAATGGCCACTCTGCTGAGCGGAAGAGCCCAAATTCCACAGCACTGGGGGCAAAAAAAACCCACAAAAAACAAAACAACAAGCATGACTCAGGCATGTCAGAAAGTCCCCTTTTTGGAGTGGGGAGGGGGGGAAGCAGAGGAAGAAATTCCAACCCCGGCCCCAAGGACTGTTTATACATTTCAGCCAAGGCTTGTTACATACAACTATGTGTAAACAGTCCTTGGGGCCGGGGTTGGAATTCCTGCCTCTCTCTGTCCCAAGAAGAGCCAAACCCACAGACCCTCAAACTGCGCTCCCTTCCTCATTCAGCAAAGCTACCTTTTCCTCCCAAAAACAGCTTGAGGCAAGAGGAGACTCTTCCAAGTTTTATTAAATGCTTCACTCATCAAGTAAGGAGTTTCCAGCATGGAGCAGACCCACGTGGCTCCAGGAGAAAGTAAAAGTGTTTGGACACTAAACCCAAGTCCATGGTTCTACAGGTGAGCATCTAGGTGGGGATTTTTCACATTAGTCCCCAAAGAGGTGCTCTGGTAGAGGTTCATGGAGGAGGGTAAGGCTGCACAAAGCTCTGCTGAGGGCAGGGCTGGAGGAGAAGAAGATAAAGTTGGGAAATTAAAGTCAGCACAAAGATTCAATGCACCTTCTCAAAGAAGACTTCTCCCCTCTCCTCACCAAGTCCCTCACAGTTATACAATAAAAAAATTATCATTTGAAGGGAGTATAAATCCCTGGTTTCAGCTTTCAGACAGGGTTGCCGTGTTTCTGGCAGACAGTCAGAGCTCCCAGGACAGCAAGGATCAGGATGACCAACCCAGCAACTGCAGCCAGCCCCAAAACCATCCACAGGTGACCTGCAGCTGGGAAGAAGGAAGGAGGTGGTTACAGCCACAGCCAGAACCTGTCCCCTAAACCATCCCCCTTCCCTGTCTTCTCCCTACCTTGTGAAGGGACCCTCCTCACTGTGTGATCCTGCCAGCTGTGGATGAGGAGAGGTCCAACCACAACATCCGCTTCTTCCACCAAGGGATCTGAAAGGGAGGACCTGTGAGCACTCTAACTCATTTGAACCTCTCCAAAGTCTTGGACTGGCACTGAGGAGCCAGCAGGTCATGAAGCAGCTCCAGCCTGGCATAGACCAAGAGACATACCGGGCTGGGAGGGCAGTTCTCTCCGGACACGTCCTCCTGGCCGTTGGGAAGGAGCATGGAGCCTCCCGGAGTGCCGGGCCAAGCCACAGCTCCTCATCTCACAGCAGGAACAGATATCCTGGGTGCCTTCCACAGGAACCCAGCTGGAAGAGAGCCTGGTGACCAGCCCACCCTATGGTGAGAGTGCCTCACGTGCTTTGGGGTCTGTTAGGAGAGACCCAAACCCTCCCACACCCAGGTGTCCAACCCCACCTCCCTGTGAGGTGACACACCAGGAAAGAAGCCCAAGCTCTTCACCCTTGGCCAAGCTGCTGTTCCCACTACTCACAGATTGCTGGCTTTGCTGAAAGAACAGGCCTTGTTCAGAGGGTCTGGAGCTTGGTCAGCTGGGGAGACCTTCAGGTGGCAGGTGACATAGATCTGGGCAGGGCAGGCAGAGCAGAGGGGTTTGGCCATCAGGTGTCTTCATGTCTTTCCCACACACCATGATTTTGATCTCCAGCACCAGGACCACAGACTCCCCAGGGCAGCTGAACCCCCTTCAATTCCTTCAAGCCACTTAGGATTTCAGCTATCAAAGCCCACCAGAAGGGCTTGTCTTGACCACTATCAGAACTGATCCTTGCCTCAGAGGGCCATGATGCAGCAGCAGTGGTACAGGATGACCTCATTCGTGTGTTGCTATGAGGCAGTTACCTTGGGAATGTAATTCTAGACAAAAACCACTTTAAATTTCCTAATGGAGCAAGGCTCTCACCCAGGAAAGGGAGTTAATTGCTTTAAGAATGATTTACCAGATTGCTGGAGTCTCCTGCAAACTTGAATGCATCTACTGCAAACTGAAGCACATCTTGCCTGGGTCTCGGGGATATAAAAGTCGAGGTGGCATCATCCAGCTGCCCATCCACCAGGCACCTGGACACAAACACAGGGCCCAAACAGGGTCCCACTGTCAGATATCATCTCCATAAACCTGCAGAAAGGTCCTTCTGAACAAGGGCACAGCCAGCTCTTACCCACTGAATTCAATGAAGGCGTACTGGGGAGAGGAGGTCCTGTCTGGGGTCGGGGTGGCCACACAGCTGTCCACAAAGAGCCTCAAAGGCACGTGGTTCTCTGCATCAACACCAGCTTGGAAGTGCAGGACCTCTCCCAGCTGAAATACAGTGGAGGCTCTCTCGGCGCTCCAGTCATCTGGAAGGACAGAGGTCACCAGGCACTCTTGGATGGGAAGCTGGTTTGGGCTTCGCTGCTTCCACCCAGGGAAACCCCAGCGGGCACAAGGCCCTGGGTGCTGCCCAAAACTGAACCATCTAGCGGAATCATGGCCACCAGAGGAGATCCTCACCCCAAACTCACCAGTCATGAGGCGCAGGGAGAAGGGCAGCTTCTCCTCAGAGGACAGGGTGTAACGGAAGGGTGCCCACGTGGGCCTGACACCACTGCTGCTCACGTTGTCCCTCCTGGGGAGGAGAAATGCCCACAGCTGAGTTCTCTGTGGCAGCAGAAGGGACTGTTTGGTGCTCACTTGCCTTTGCTCACCTGGGGTAGTGGCACTCGATGGGAACCACGGCAGGGCTGGTGCGGATGACAATGTGATTGCTGGGAGGAACTGGGCTGTAATTTAGGCTTGTGGTGTAGATTAGAGAATCAGGGGTCACCTGGGGAAAGGCAGGGCAATTATCCAGTCATTAAGAGCCCTGTTCCTTTGACCACACACACACACACAGAGCTGCACATTTGAGCTCAGAGACTCAGCACTGAAATATTGTTTCTGGTCCTCAGCCAGCAGCATTTGTGCTGGAGGCAGGTGAGGGGCACTCATCCTGATGTAGGAATCCTCTGGGATGGGAGCCTGCTCCAGCCTGCCCCAGGACAGCCTGTGGTCAGCAGCAGAGCTGGATGCAGACATGCTCTAGCTGATTCTTACTTTTATTCTATAGTTTCCATGCCCTGGAACAACAGACAGGAAGGTCTGGCTCCCAGGATACCAAAGAGTGACTTCATCTGCTGGATAGAGTAAGGGGAGGGCACTTGCTCATTCACATGACCACTCCAAGCCTCTCCCAGGGGAGAGACCATTTCAGATTTAAGTTTTCGGTGAAGTAGCTTCATGCTACACCCCATAAGCAGCACTCAGATGCTTCCTGAGGTATCCATAAGGAGCAGTGGCTCCCAACACCCGGTCTTCCGCGCTCCGCCCTCGAGGTGGCAGCAGCAGCACGAACAGTGCCGGAGCATTTAGCTACCTCTGTATTTATCAGAAAAAAACTTATCTCTCTGCCTCTTCCCTGCTCACCCGAGCCCAGACAACACAGCACAGCTCCTGATCCTCTTGACTGAGGTGTTCAACCTCCAGGAAAACTTCGGAGCATTTCCCTGAGCCCAACCACACCACAGATCCTTTCAGTCTCAGCACCCCAAGGCACCAGGGTGCAAGCCAAGAGGCAGCCCCGCTCCCCTCCTCTCCCCACCCCCCCCGCCCCTTAAGGGTCCAGCCCCCCGCAACTTACCCTGAGGGTGCTGCCACACTCGTGCAGCCCGGCCACAAAGGTCACAGTGGGCTCAGGGGTGCTCCAGAGCAGGGGCGGGCAGGACGCTGATCCCAGGCTCAGATCCGCAGCCCTGACCAGGCGCCCGGTGCCGAAGAGGTCCCTGTGCACTGTGACCACCACCTGTGCCTCCTGGCACTGCACGGCCACGGGGTGCAGCGGGGCCAGAGCCTGGAGCTGGGACACGTCCACCCACGCCCAGGGCTGCGAGAAGGGCCGTGGCTGCCCCAGGGAAGGATCCCCTCCGTACCTCCATAGCTCTGCCTCCCCTCTGAAGACACCCAGGGGGTTGTAAGCAGCCACCTCCCCAAAAACCCAGCACAAGAGAGCCAACCCGAGGCTGCTTCCAGACCTCATCCTGCCTACCAGGGTCCAGCACAAGGAGTAACTGCTGCCCAGGGAGGTTTTATAGCCCACCTCTCCCACAGCCACTCTCCCACCAGGTGATGCTCAGCACACCTCCCATCAGGGCAACTGGAAACAGCTGAGAGACCCAGTTCCCTGTGGAACCCCTGTGGTGGGATTTACCAAGATGCTGGATTGGGTCTCTTGTTCACAGGAGAGATGCTGAGCTTGCTGTGCAGCCAACTGCAGCTAACCCTCCTCCCCTCCTTTTTTTTGGGGGAACAACCAGTTAGGATACACAGAGGTGTATCCCACCTTCAGCCTATATCTCCCATCTCCAGATTAGGGGGTCCTTCTGTAGCAGGGCTGCTGGGGGATGGAGCAGTAGGGGGTGTGCGATAATTTCCTTATCAGGAATAAATTAGAGCTATTTGAAATAACAATTATTTCTAATAATTATTAGAATGATTTGGCCTGGAGCAAAACGGTTCCCATGGTGTGTGGGCAGCCCAACCTTTCTGGAGATGATTCAGCAGCAGGTTGTCCCCTCCACGGGGGGACAAATACTCCAGGGTGGGGTAGATCCAGATGAATCACCCTACAAGCTTCCTCGTGCTTGGTTTGAGGTTATGGGTCAGGAGGAAAAGCAGTTTGGGCACTGAAGTGATACCAGGATGTTTGCTTGTGAGTGCTGGCACGCTCAGTGCTTTGCTTCCACACCCTCAGGTGAGAACCAGGTGAGATGCCCGTGAATTTTAGGTGACATCCGTGGCTTAATCAGACTGGTTTGGCATGATCCAAACTGGACAACTGCCAGCAGGAAAGCTGTGAACCATCTGAAGGAAAAAGACTTGAGTTGTTCCCACAGGGACCAGGCTGACAGCCTTTCTTAGCACCTCCCTGAGCAAACAGGACCTCTCAGTGCTCTCTTCCTTGTCTCCAAGCCAACACCCTTCTCATGGAGATCTGCCTGTCTCACATACATGAGTCATCCTGTGCTCATCCTCAAGCAAACTATGGGACCAGGGGATCCACAGAGGTGCTCCAAACTGTCCCACCTCAATGCCCACACCCCCTAAAGCCTACCTGTGGATTTATCGCTCCAGATGTGACTCACCTGAGCTGTGCAGCCCAGTGTTGTCCCCTGGCCTGTCTTCTAGTTGGCTGTCCTTGGTGGGAGTCATGGGGGACACTGAACAGCCAGTCTGAGCATTCCACTCATCAGCATTGTCTTCAATCCTCATCACCTTCACCAGAGACATCAGGACGATTACAATTTGCACTTTCTCCTCTCTGCAGGGGTGGAGATGGACACCTAAGTGTGCAAAGAGGAGCCCAGTGAGCAGTCAGGGATGGAGATGGCCTTTGCCACCGAAGCACACCTGAACAAGGTGACCACACGGGTCTGTCCCTGCCCAAATCAAGTTCTCTTTCCCCGATGGTCTCTGCTGCTCTGGGGCACCAGCACCACATCCTCATTCCTGGGCTGTGGCCACTCCAATCCCATTGGTCAAGGTTCCCTCTCTGCCTGACACAGATCAGGAAAACTTTGTTTTGTTCAACGGCTGCAGAGGAGAAGATGGGAACTTCTTCCTCCTGAGCTGGGGCAATAAATCATCTTTATCTCGAGTCAACCTTGAAGCTCCCAGGCTTGGCAGGGCTTGCAGGAGGGGATAAGCCCTTCTGATCCCAGGCTGGGGATGCAGAGGCATGTCTTGTGCTGAGATGTTGGCACCTCAGCCAGAAAAGTGCCTTCAAGGGACAAAGTCTGCCCTGGCCCTGCAGCCCTGGGCCCTGCCAGCTTGGCTGGTCTCATTCCAGAGCTCAAGCAGCCTTGAAGAAAAGCCTCTGCAGAAGGTGCAGGTGGCTCTGAGGGCACCTCCTCGGAGGGTCACCTCCTGGAGATGCTACTGAGGCTGAAATCCAGGACTCAGCTCCAGGCTGGGATGGAGACAGGTCCATTCCGCCCAGCCACCATCCATTCCCCCACCCTCCAGCTCTCCCATATGGATTTGCTGCCCTCCCACCCATCCTAGACCTATCAGCCAGGAGGTCCCACGTGCTGGAAAGGAAAAAAAGGAACATTAGTGGTAATCATGCTGCTCCTGAGCAAGTTATTGCCACACCACAGTTCATGGGGGAGCTGCTGCTTTCCAAACCCAGCAAAAGACTAACACACTGTTCATCCCAGGAGGATTTATTGGCATGGCAAGGTGAAAGGGAACCCTAAAGGTCTCCACAGGGACCTCTGGAGGGTTTTCCAAGCAGCCACAGCCCATGGCAAACGTCCTGCTTTGCAGACCCTCACTTCCTCCGCTTCCGAAGCCTCGTGCTGGGCTGCCCGCCCCGCTTGCTCCTGGTGGGATGCAATGATTTGGGGCATTCCCACTCGGACTCCAGGCTGGGGGTCTCGGAGCGCGCTGGGCTGGCAGGGGGGGTGGCAGGAGGGGGTGTCCTGGGGGAAAAGGCCACAGCAGCCGCCGGGACCGGCGGTTCATCCTTCTGCGGGGTGCTGGAAGGGAATAAGTCCAGCAGGTTGGAGGGCAGCGATGGCCAGTCCATGTCTGCGGTGGAGGGGTTCTGTGGGCAGGCCACGAGCTGCAGCAGGGGTCCCACAGCAGAGGAGATGGTGGCCAGGGACTGGGACATGGCCCGGATCTCCTGGGTCATGGCCACTAGGTGCCTGTTTGCCCTCTGCTGAGCTTGCAGGAGGCGAGTGCCCATCCTCAGGAACTTGTCCGCCTGCTGCATGTTGGACCTGGCCCAGCCACCAAAACCTTCCTGCAGGGAGGCCAGAGAGTCCTGGATGCTCCTGGAAAGAGGCACAGTGTCCCCATAGGCTGAGCCTGAGTCTTCCTCTGCTTCTTCCTCCCTCTGAATCAGAAGAGTCTTGGGTAGGGTGGGGGACATATCCCCCTCCTGGTTTGGACACACGTGTTCTCTGCCACCAGAGGGGTCTGGCACAGGCGCACAGGGCTGGCTGTGGGCTGGCAGGTCCACAGGGAGATCTGCTTGTGGTTGGCAATCCTCCCCGGGATGCTTGAGGTCAAGGATCACAATGCTCTCATCAGACAGAGAGTTGTGCCGGGAAGTGGAGGTACCTGTTGCGGGAAGCAGGGATGAAGGAAGCAAGAGGAGATAGTCAGGGCTCCAAGGGTCCTCAAAGCATGACTCGGAGAGGTGCAGAAGGGAAACAGAGGCATGATGTCTACCATGCAGTGGAGATGCAGGTAGTGGGGTGGGGGGCAGATTGTCTCCAGGAAACCCCAAGCTCCATTCAGGACATCACCCCTGGACTCCTATATGGACCATCCATGGCACATGAGCTTGCTCTGGGAAGCTCAGTGGTGGACACCCACAGAAAGCCAAGGAGGTCATGGCCCAGGTCTGGGGTCAGTAGATTCACCATAAAGGATCTCCCACGTCCTCTCCCAGTACAACTGCATTTGGGGACCACCCACCACATTCTGCAAGGGCAAGAGACACCCTTCATTTGGAAGGGATGGGTGCAACAACAACATCCCATCCCTGGGAGAGGCTGGAGTGTGCTCAATGTGTGAGCAAAGTCTGGGTGGGGCACAGCTCCCTCAGCTCATAGAATCATGGAATCACAGAACGGTTCCAACCTGCAGGCCATGGGCAGGGGCACCTTCCACTAGACCAGGCTGCTCAGGGCTCCATCCAGCCTGGCCTTGAACACCTCCAGGGGTGGGAATGGCATCAGCTGAAGCAGATGTTGAAGCAGATGAGAAACCCATGGAGAACGTGGTCTACACAGGGGATATAACCTTCATCTCTGCTTTCAGTTCCCACCTCCCCAACCCACCTGGCCCAAGTGCCTCCTCACCTGGGTGCCCTGTGACACGCTCCACCAGCACCTGCAGCCTGGCCTTGCACTCGGCAAAGGGCCCAGGCTCCGCTTGGTCCCCAGCTGCCGGCAGCTGCAGCCGCTGGAGCTCCTGCAGCGAGCCCTTGATGAAGGGCTGCATGTCCATCACCTCCTGCTCCATGGCGTAGAGGTTCATCTTCTCCACCAGCCTCTCGCCCGCCTCCATCCGCCGCAGCACCCCCTCCACGTGCCGCAGCTCCCGCGCCAGCTCCCGCCGGCCCTGCTCCTGACGCGCCTCCACCAGCCCCAACAGCTCCTCTTCCTCCTGCCGGATCAGCCGCACCAGCTGCTCCACGCGCTGCCGGATCAGCTCCCGCATCTCCCGCTGCGCCTCCTCCAGCCGGGCCGCCTCGCCCTGCAGGGACACGTAGGCGGCCTCGAAGCCGCTCCGGCGCCGCCGCAGCTCCCGCTCCATGGAGCTCAGCTCCTCCTGCCTGCGCTGGGTCTCGCTGCGGATGTCGCAGAACGGTGCGTGCTGGTTGTCCAGCAGCGCGCACGAGCAGCACAGTGCCTTCTCACACCTCTGGCAGTAGATGCTGGCAGGGAACACGAGCGTCCTTCAGAGCTGGCACGGCATTGGGGTGGGAAAAGCAGCTCTGCTGCGCTGGGCACAATTCCCCCTGCCCGAGGAACAGCCCAGGGGAAACTGAGGCACGGGGCTTTGCCTCACTGCACCAGCTGCAGGGGCGGCCACAAGGCTGGGCCTTCGACCCTCCTTTGCTGCCCTCCCTCCTCCCAGGGTGCTGCCAAACCCATATCACACAGACTCATACAGTGGCATCTCCCGAGCTGGAAGGGACCCACAAGGATCATCAAAGTCCAGCTCCAGGCCCTGTACAGGACACTCCAACAATCCCACCATGAGAGCATTGTCCAAGCGCTCCTTGAGCTCTGGCAGCCTTGGGGCCGTGACCACTGCCCTGGGGAGCCTGTTCCAATGCTCAGCCACCCTCTGGGGGTCCCATCATAGGACCCAAAGAGATGGCAAGGACCCACTTAGATGAGGACAAGCCTTCTCAGACCTACCTCACAGGCTGGCTCTTGTGGTCTGGGTTGAAACAGGACAAGCTCCCTGTCCTCCTGCTCCCCTCCAGGAAGTCTTTTGCAGACCCTGCCCTGATGTCCATCACCCTCTTGGCTCTGTGGCTCTCCCACCTCAGGTAGCGCTGGTGGGCCTCAAAGCACTTGGTGCAGAGGAACTCGAAGCACTCGGAGCACCAGAACTCCCCTGATTTCCTGCAGTTGTTGCAAAACAAGTCAACTCCATCCACCATCTGCTTGTAGACCCTCAGCCGGGCCTGCAGGTTGGTGAAGAGCAGGTTGTCCATGTCCGGGATGCCGCTGGCCTGCGGGATGGCCGTGCAGCACACGGGGCACTGCCTGACAGGCTCATTCTTGCCCAGGCAACCGAGGCACAAGGTGTGGAGGCAGGTGAGGAGCTTGAGGTTGGGCGATTCCTGCCGGCAGCCCTCGCAAAGGAGGAACTGGAAGTCATCTTCTAGGAGCTTGGGGAGAGAGAGTGGGGGCAGGGTGAGGAATGAGCACTGAGGAGTGTCTTTAAGAGCTTCTGAAACCTCATACTGGGGGGAGAGGTGACCCAAAAACCGCTCTTGGAGCAACCAGTGAGTAACCACTTCCCACCAGTGATGGCCAGGGCAGAGGTGTCCAGTGCACCTAGGATGAGGTCGGATGGACAGGGCCCTGCTGAGCCCTTCCTTTCCCTTTAGCAAAGAGGAAACAGTCCCCTGGCTATGGGGCTGGGGAGGGCTGAGGAGGGGCAGATCAAAGGATGGGGGCACGGAGGAAACATCTACAGACCCCCGGATGACACTCTGGTGGGGTGGGGACCATCGTCCCTGACACCCACCTCCCTTCAGCCCATCCCTCTGTCCTCCTACCTCCCTCTCCCAGCGGGGGCGGGGGGGGCTGGACTGGGGACCAGTCCCATCCTCCCCACCACCCACCAAACCGGGAAGCAGAGAGACACCCCAAACTCTCATCCCCATCGCCACTCCTCGGGGCAAGGGACTTCCTGGTGTCCTGGACATCTCCGACCCCCTCAAGCGGTCGGAGCCCCCTCCGCGTCCCGCCCGCATCCCTCCCGCATCCCCCCTGGACCGACCGGGGCGCGGGAGCCGGACAGGGACATGGCGAGGCGGGAAAGGATCGCGCTGCCTGCCCCGCCTGTACTTTCGGTTTCTTCGGCTCCGGGGTTAACTCCTCCTCCGGGTCTGGGTGGGGGAGCCTCGGAGAGCCCGCTCCCAGCGCCGCTCCCCGCCCGGGAAACGCTTCACAGCCGGTCAGCCCTTGCCGGCCATCCGGGAGGGAAGAAACCCCAAGATCCCCTCCAAAAGGCGTTTCCCCAAGGAGAAGCGCCCCCAGAAATGTACAGCAGGGTCCCAGTCCCTGCTGTGCTTCGGACGGGCACTGCCAAAGGCGGTTTCGGTGCCCTTTGCAGGCCGTGAGGGAGCTCAGGGGCTATCCTTCCACCTTGGAGAGGATTTCCACGTCCCTTTGTCCTGTATTCTGGCTGTCCTTTGCTCCTTCTTGCAGGGCATCGGTACCCCCAGCCATCTGCACCACGGGGACCACCATGAAAGGGGACCACCATGAAAGGGGACCACCACAAAAAGGGGACCACCACAAAGAGGGGACCACTACAAAGGGGGGACCATCAGGAGTACTTGGGGTTCGCCTTTCCTGGCACCCCCAAAGGGAGTAGGGAGTGGTAGGACACTACTGTCAACTCCTCTGGGGGTTTTGATGCCCTGAGGATCCCCAGAGCCTGGTCCAGGCTGGTGCCACCCAGCCCCAGGCTTTGAAGAAGACATTTAACAGGTGGTTTAGTCATGAAACATTTCAGTTCCAAACATTTCCAGTTTGGAAACATGTTAATTCTCTTTCCTCCTGTCCCATCCTCCGGCAAGAAGCCCCTGGCATGGATGGGACAGGACAGCAAGACCACTCAGGTTTGTCCCACTGGTCCAGCAAAACATCCTGGAGCTGCTAAAGCTGCCTGGAGCTCCGAGCCATTTTAACCCCTGGGGTGCTGGGTGCTGTTGGGGAGCTGAGCATCCCCCAAGAGGCCACATGGCATCCTGCCAGCTCTTCCTCACCATTCCAGGACTTCATGTGTTCATCACAATTGAGCTTCCTTGCCTGGCAGCTCCTCCCATCCTCTGGTCTCTGCCTTGGGGGAAACTGAGGCACGAGGGGTGCAGCCACATCTGCCTGCAGAATTCACGAGCCCAGCACTGCCCAAGGCTGCACATCAGGTTTATTGTCCATCAGATAGAAAGGAAGCTTACAAAATAAATAAATATCTCTATATGCCTATATCCAGTCCTCACCCGCCATGGACACACCTCACAGCACGCATGCAAAAGGATCTTGAAGCACAGATTAGCGCAGTCACTAATTACAAACCACTGTGTGGGGAAGGCAGGTCATTCCCCAGATTGCCACCTCTGCTCCAGCCCCGTTAAGTGCTGGTATCCCATCAGTGGTGCCATGCTGGATCCCAGTTCCAGCCTGCTGGTGGCATCCCAGCCTGGTGCAGCCAGCCCTCGTGGCCCATTTTGGCTGCCCACCCCATCCCACGGCTCCTGTCCTCGGCCACAGTGTCCCCAAGCTCTCCTCCACACAGCCACTCACCTCACGCCCCTTCCAGTGACATCCCTGGCCATGCACCAGGTTGTGGGGACACCAGGACGTCGGTCTGTGCCCTGGTGACACATTGGCCCAGGAAATCAAGGCCGGGTTGGATGGGGCTTGGGGCAACCTGCTCTAGTGGAAGGTGTCCCCTGCCATGGGCAGGGGGTGGAACGAGATGAGCTTTAAGGCCTTCCCACCCAAACCAGTCTGTGGTTCTGTGAAACTGGAAGCAAACTGGCACATGCTGAGGTGCCAGCTGGTTCCCGTAATGTTGTAAGCAGGGGCTGAAGAACAGAGGGAAAGCCAAGGGCAAGGATGGGCAGTGGAGCTCAGCCTCGGTTTTCCTGCTCAGATGTTCACCCAACTCCCACAGCCTCCACAGGAAGGGCAGCAGGAGCTCCAGCATGGCAAGGCCCTCACCACACAGCACGGTCCTCCCAAATGTCCTCATGCCTTGGCACACCGACAGAGACACAAGCACACGGACACGCGCCCACGCACACACTCTATCTATGCTGCTTCATGGCCTTGATGAGCTCCTCCAGCTTCAGGGCCAGGTGCAGGTCACCTGTCACCTGCAGCCTCCCACTCATGTAGGCACTCAGGGGGCGCAGGTCACCCAGAAAGAGGTCCTGAAGATCCCTCTCCGACACTTCCAGAGTGACGTCAGGAACGGCCTCGGGCACGCCGCGGCCAATCCGCCCGCTGCCTGTAGGACACGGTGGGTGGGAGAGGGAGAAAAAGTGGGTTCAGGATCCAGCCTTGATCCAACTGGTGTTTCCCCCCTACATTTCATGAGATTTGAGATGGGCCAGATGACAGACAAGGGCCTGGCAGGGAGACTTTGGAGGCAGGAGTCCTTACACCCTTATGGAGATCAATTTCTCTTGTGCTGCTCCACCCATGTCCTTTACAGTGGTCCACTCCCAAGCCCTGTCCTGCTTTTGCCATGACCACCAGGAAAACCATAGGCAACCGTGAGGGGACACCCTCCAGCATGGCAGGGGCCCTCCATCACTACCCCCTTGTGCTGGTGTCCTACAAGAGTCAACAACTCCTGAGGTCTCCAGGCCAGCCATGAGACCTGGCTGTCAATTTTCCATTAATACTTTGTTTCTGAAGGAAAATTCACGGTTTTAAACCAGAACAAATTATACTTTGGACTTCCAGGGAGTGTGGACTCCAGGTCACGGTCATCAAACTGCATCGGTCACCTGACAGGCCCCTGGGTGGCTTTCGTGGAGGTACCAAAGGGGTTTGGTTTGGGACCTCTGGCCACCAAGCTCGGTGGGGTTCACAGCATGCAAAGGGGGCACAAGAGCAAAACTCCCTCACACCTCCAACACAACAACCCCAAAGAGTGGTGACCTGAGGAGAGGTCTATGAAGTAGGTGCTCCGGGTGCCACTGGGCAGGGCGATGTTGACCTGGTAGGATGCTCCCACCTGGCTGACCAGCGTCTCAGAGAGGACAGACTCCACCGCTGAGAGCAGCTCATCTGCGCTGGGCTTCCTCTGGGCAAGGAGGGGAGCGGTGGGAGGCTCCACCTCGTTCACTGTCTCCACACTGTCTGCTGGGGACAACAGGACAGATTAGGGGACACCTTTGTGTGATGAGCCAGACCCACCAGGAAAGGTCTCCAGAGGCAAGAAAACCACTTTTCCAGCAAGTCTCCAGCTAAGCAAGAAGAGGGCAACTGGCTTTGCCGGTTCCTGCTCCACTGTCTGCCATGGGTTACTCTTCCCTGGCTACCAGGGTGAGGAAAATTATCCCTGAAAAGTTAACGGGGCACAAATCGGTGCAGGGTTGCTGGAGGAAAATCCACGTGACTCTTGGCAAACTCAGGCTCGAGTTTGCCTGGTGGAAATGCTGAGATATGAGTTGGCCTTGAGCCCAGGGCTCCTGCAGGTCTGCTTTCGCCCCTCCCCGCCCCTTCTCCAATGTCTTGTTGAAATGGTGGTGCTGTGGCCACGTGCTGCATGGAGCTGTGCCCAAGGCAGATGTCTCTCCTCCCTGCTACCAGCCTATCTGTGCTGTGCTCGTAGGAGCGTGACATCTCCAGGACTTTGACTCCTCTGTCAGATAGCCAATGGTCACAAAGGTCACTGGGCAGGAGGGACATCCCCCAGCAGAGGAGCAGTGACCCAGGGTTGGTTACCTGCCTCCGGAGCACCGCTCCCACCACTGGCCAGAGCCAGGGTGCTGCCGAAGAAGTGGGCAGCCAGCTGCTGAATGGTGCCATCCAGCCCCTCCAGCCCCGGCACGGGTGGCACGGTGGCCGCAGGGCCCACCAGGCTCTCCCGGGGTGGCTGCAGCACAGCCTCCATGCTCAGCTCCACCCGGTCCACCTCCAGGCCCCACGACTTGGTCATGTCGTTAATCTCCAACTGGGAAGAAAGGGAGAGGTGTTGACAGCCTTGGCAGAGCTGCATATGGCCACACCATGGCACCCCCAACCTATAGCTTGTACTGCTCTGCCCACCAGTGGTCAGAACTACTGACCAGGCTCAGTAGTTCTCCTCCTCCTCCAAGCTGTCAACTCTCACATTCAAACCCTCCTCCCCCAGTTGTTCTCCCAGCTTGGAGGAGGTTGGGACAGGGGACACAGCTCTGTCTTGTTCCTCTTTCCACAGCCCTTTTCCTTGCTCCCCCTGGGCAACACGTCATGGCATAGTGATCCACCAGGCAGTATCTCTGGCCTCCAAACCACCCCAGGCACCCCAGAGATACCCCCAACCTCTTTTTACATCACTCCTTGTAGACACTGAACCCACAAGATCTTGGCCTGGCTCCAGGCTGACTGCAGGACAGGACTCACTACCCCTCTGTCACCACCTTGTCCTTCTTCTCTCACCCAAAGCCCTTTCCAGGTTCCCTCCAGACCTTTTCCTGACGGAGATAAGGAGGTCAAATCACAACACATGAGCCCTTCTGTGCACCCAAAGCCCTTGGAGATGAGCCACAGAGCTCTGGAGATCTCCCTGCTAATCACCACATTTTCCCAGCTCCCTTCCTTGGCCAGGTCTGTGGCCAGAGGGACTTTCAGCAGCTCCATCTTTTCCTTACTGTTACTTCCGCACCGCGATCCCAAGGGTTTGGGTGTCCTGGGGGGCTCTGAGGCAGTCCTCACCAGCAGCTGCTCCCCGATCCTCAGCTTCTCCACCTGGATCTCACGGAGGCTCTTCTTCATCAAGGTCTTGGTCATGGCGTTCTGTGCCGTCATCCGGGTGGCTGCAATGAGGTCCTTCACCATCATGACGGACAACACAGGGTCCCACACCCGGAATTGGACATCGGCACCCATGGAGATGATTGCCCCATCCTTGGAGGTCACCTGGGGCAGAAAGGAGTCAGGAGCTCTCCCTCTCTCTGCCCCACGGCCCCACCCTCGTGTGTAGATCCTGGGAGCAAAGGCATTCCCAGATGTCTTTATTAAGAGGATTATTAGACACAAAACCAATGCAAATAATTAATTTTGGGCTAGCTTGGACGGTGAGGACAGTTTCCAGTATGGGCTTG